GCCGGCAGATTGAAGAGGAGACCCCGTGTGGGAGTGAAAAAAAAAGAGGGAGCGATCGGGTCGCTTCACCGCAGTGTGATGAATTTCACGTTCGGTTGGCCTATCATTAATAATAATTACGTCGCCCGCGAGAGATCCGATTAATCTCGATGGTTCCAGTCTGACTGTCCGGTGTAACCATCAGGCATTCGTCCATTCATCGTTCTGAACACGTTTCACTGAATATTTCATAGACTGCTGCAGTATGTCTTATGCGATCTTTATCTATTTCACTTGTACGTCTGACAAGTACAAATGACAATGCATGACGAAATAGCCATAACAGTGACAACCCGTTTATTATCGCGGAGAATGAAAAAAAATGGATTTTAACAGATGCAGACGTATTCGCTCGTTTAAAAATCAGTTCGTTAAATTGCTCGATGCTCGAAATTAATAAATAACATTAACATGACATTTGAGATAAATTTCTTTTCTTTGAAATTTCGGCCGAAAACGATGACACGAGAAATGCTTGTAAACTTCCCTATATATAAATTGGTTTTTTACTTTGAAACGTTTTTGCAATCTGTGTATTTATGCACCCCAAACTTTGCAATGTTGCGATTGTATTATCTCGTGAGATTTAAAATGGGTGTATGAACAAATTAGGTTCAGGATTTTCGTGGCTGAGTCGGCGACTTCTCGTGATCGTTCTGACTTTAATTTTATCGGTCGGAGACCCAGTCGATCCTCCTAATACATAATGGATCCCCCAGGCCTACGGTCCGAAGCTCCAATCGAATTAATGCCGAAGACAGCACTTTTTTTCATCCCCTCTCTCACTAGATTAATATCGTGGGAATTCTATACGTAGGGTCACTCTGGTTTGTATATCGAAATTTCGCGATAAAGATTCTTCTTTCAAAAATAGCTAAACATTAAAACAAACGAACAATTTTAACAATTAGTTTGTAACATCGTTGAATTATATAATACCTACATATTTGAAGTACCTTTAAATTCAATCATTTTATATACTAGCTTTCAGAGAATAATTCAAATTAAATTTTTTTCCGTGAACAATAACTGGAAAAAGTAATGCGGTTCACAATAGATAATAGAAGAGCTATAACGAGTTAAAAGTTAAAATTTGTTAGCTAAATATTTTCCAAAACTTTCCATTTAATTAAAAAATCTTTATTGCATAAAGTTAGAGCGAAAACGTTTCGACAACACGAATGCATTTAGCAATGTTTCTTTTTTTTATTGAGATTTTTGATTAATCATTAACGATTAGTTTGCCATTATCAGAATAAAAAGAACGTATTTTTATTAATGTTTTACACGAGACAACGGTTATAATCTTATTTATGTTATTTATATTATCTTGCTGCTTAACCTTAAGCATAGGTAAAGTTAGATA